CGGTTGGATTGATCGTAAAAACGGTTGAAGTTATAGCAAGCTAAATCACCTCACTTGAACATGGTTCACCGCTGAACTCTAGTTGCTCATGCCATGCTGGAGGGCAAGAAAAGCAAAGGGACATGACAAACAACAAACAAAGGAATTATTTTAAAAGATGTTAACTTTTTGTTTGGCTTGACTCAGTGCGTAGGGCCTCGCTCTCCGGCATGGCAGGTTTGTGCCACAAAAGTGACTTACTGCAAAGGGCCTATTTAAAATGAACAAGGCATGGAGTAAAACATGGTTGGTTGGAAGGTGTCGGTAAGAGAGATGACTGTAGTTATCTTAAAAATCGTAAGCTAACCAACGACGACGACGACAGCAGTGAAAATGTCGCTAAAAATTAAATTTGCCTCATTTCAAATGTTATCACGTCTATTTGGAGCTGCTAAATTTGTCAAATGTAGGCGATTTCTCTTGGAGTTGAATTCTTAAGGACTTTATTCAGGATCCGAAAGAAAAAGGAGAATTCGTCGTCGTATGTTCACTTTCTCTATAAAACGTTGTATTCAAGAGGTTGCTATAAAAATTACAAATATATTACAAAAACAAGAAGAAGAAAACCAGCAAATTACATAAATCGTGATCAAAGGCGAAATGTGCGCAGTGGCCAAAGGAGCTTAGGCTTTCGAGTTGGTCACTTAAGCTCCCTAGTTTAAATGACTGGGTGCATGCCTTATGAGCTTTGAAATTAAGACGAAGAATTCCTTTTCAGTTCCAGTTAAGAGAGTATCTAAAACAAGTTCTCCCGTTGACTACTATCCTGACACGAGAGAAATGGAACTGTTTTGTACCTTCAAGGGATGGCCTCGTCCTCGTGTAGTTTGGTACAATCCAAAAAACAAACAAATCATCAACGGATCTGAAGGTTTTTACATCTCAGAGCAGCTGGATCGAGAGGATAGCTTAACTTCCCTTCTCCGTAATGCTAATATCCAACAAAAACACGCAGGGGCTTATAAATGCACTGGAATGAACAACATTACCAACTGGTCGCGTAAAGAATCAGGGTATACTGACCTGAATTATCGATGTGAGTCATTTAATTTCTTATTTCTAATACTACACACGGATGCGCAAAACTACCTCCTTTGAATCAGGTTCATAAAAAACATAATACCGTATTTCCCCTGTAAACAATGGAAAGTATCCCATTTAGACCAAGAGAGACAGCTCATTCTCTCTTGATTTAGACGGAATTAAATATTGGGTGTTTCATATTTCAAATAACAGATTAACTTATTCCTAACTGAATTTAAAAAAATGTAACGGAAAATTTCGTGCCAACTTCCTCTTCCACTCAGACTAAATGGACGCAGGAATTTTTATTTGTTTACCCCCGGGTCACAAGGGATAAGTCTGATAAGTAAATAAATAAATAAATAATGATTTAGTGGCGCTAGCTCATCCACAAAGTGGTTCTTTGTCTACCATTCTGGCTCAAATTTGCACTACGCAGCTGGCCGGATTAACGTGGGAGTGACGTGTTATTTTGGTGGCAATGGCGGAATAAGGGTGAGAAGCAACAAAACTCAACCCGGCCGGACACATATGATGTTGCCTGAGGAATCAAGCACAGGATAGTCATTAATGAGAGGGGAGTGTTCTCACCTGAAATTCAGTAGAACCTCTATATAACGAAGTCGTCGGTATGATTCACATCTATTCCATTTATTCCACGAGTGTGCGTTAGATATGAGATGGTAGTTAGCCAACGAGGCGCGTAGCACCGAGTTGGCTATAATTATCTCATATCCAACAAGCGCGAGTGGAATAATAATTCTATTAAAAACGCCCACAAAATATCGAGAATTCTTCCCGACTTTATTTGTAAACGAACCGAGTTTCATCTTGTTTTTAATTTTGAGCAGACGCGTACAGTTACCATGTTTGAAGAGCATGGTATAACGGCTCATAAACCATGATGGCTAAGCCAATCAGAGCTCTAGAATTGCATTATCCAATGATTCAATTTTTAATAATAAGCGATACTCTCCCCCCCAGAAATAATACAGTCAAACCCCGCAAATCCCGACACTGAAGGGGCCGTACTAAGAAAGAGTCCGTATTCACTGGGTGACCTTATTAGGCGGGTAGAAAATGAAAGGGCTTTCTCTCCCCATGGACAAAGCCAACTGTCCGTAACAATGAGATGTCTGTATTGCGCGGGTTTCCAGACTGGAGCGGGGTTTGACTGTACAATAAATAAGAGGAACCTCTATATAACAATTTAAACCTCTTTATAGTGAGCATATTTTGCCAGTCCTTTGGGTCTTGGTTCAGCTGTTCGTTATATCAAGATTCCAATGTAAAGTGTTATGTGGTTGTTAAAAAGAGAAAACGAGACCCCGAATATCTATTGAAATCAAAACTTAGTAGCACAGGCCATATTGGTGGAAGGTAAGAGAAGTGGGGTTCATCCGATCAACCGATCGTTAGGGCGTCTGTAAAGACGGCGTGACGAGACAAGTCGCAAAAGAGTGAACCAGTGGGATAAACAAAATCAACACGTAAAAACTCCAAAGCGTTGTGATGTCCGATATATTGTCACAAATACTCAGGAGGGGATGGTAAGAGTAAGAATGTTACCCCTTACGGTTGCACAAAAAAATGGTAACCATTTTCAAATAATATTTGCTCATCATATCTTCTTATCATCGAATACAGGTAAAATCCAGGCTCCGCAGATTTCCTCTCCCCAGGTTCGGGTGATAGCCTACCTCAATGTCAGCTTAAAGTGCTTAGCATTTGTCAGGCCAAGCGACTGTTCGGGCAATTATTTACGGTGGTATTTTAACAACAACTCAGCGAAATTAGAATCTGGCGAAAAGTATAATATACAAGAAAGGAAAACCAACACCAGATGCAAAAAAGATTTCATTCTCACCATTGTTAACGTTACTGAAGCAGACGAGGGAAAGTATAAATGTCAGTGGCTCTGCGACCATGACTATCCCAACTTTTCCAAGTCTTCAACTATCCAGTTGAAAGTATTTCCTCCTCCAGAAGAAGGTACTGATACTCCTGTGTTATCTAAAGATCTTGTGTCATGAAATTTATCAAATTTAAAAAGTGGAAAACCCCACCAAATTGAGTGAAACATAAAACTAACCGCTCAAAACCATCCAGCGGCACATCCTCATTAGCCTCTTATAAGGAAACACAGTAACACAGTAACACAGCAAATACAAAAGGAGTCATGTCATGTGAGGACAAGCTTGAAGGGTTGAAACTGCTTGCAACTAAGTGTTTCATTAGAAATCCGAAGAATAACTCGAAATTGCATAATTTCATTCGATCTGAAATCAAATTGTACAAATATGTTCTATTTAATAAGTGTAATCAAATAATTGATACATGAAACTAGAAAAAGCGGAATAAATGCCGCTAAAAGCTAAACGTTGATACAAGCGAAGTCACATGGTTCTTGAAACAAACTCAATTTAAGCTACTTCAACTCTGTTTAAAAGGTAACGAAAGAAAGACTAAATTAACAAAACGAAGGCAACATACAGTTCACTTGCTCCTATGGCAACTGTTTTCTTAAATGTTCTTGAATAGGCATTAAATCGGTCTGGGTAGTAGGTAAACTGTTAACACTTTAATCTTTGCGGTACGGCGGTCGGTAAAAAACTTATAAAAACTCGAATAAAGCGGGTACTTTTCTGGTTCCTGTTGGGCGTTTATGGTTTTCCAACTTTTGTCAGATAGATTAAATATAAAGATTCCTTGAATAGTTCTTTTATTACGTTAACACTGAGGTTTTTGAAAACTGAAATAGCCTAAAAGTTTTTCAAAAGTCTTTTTTATGTCTGCAACTTTTCATTTAATGTTTGGGAGACGAATGTGTTCGACATGAAGCAGCGATTTTGTCATTTGCAAGGGATTTCTTAACTCATGCCGAGTTCCACTGAAGACATTATATGTTCGTGCATGAGTTTTTTATATTTTTGTTGTTGCTATTGTTTTAAATCATCCGCCTTCAGGTCTGTGAATACGGAAGGAAAAAAAAACAATTTGACAACTATCGCAACACTGTGAGAACATTCATGGAGCAGGCTTTAGACCAGAAACTACTTTACAGCAGATTTTGCAAAGCTACCTCCAAAAATTGCAGTAAGGTGAAGCAGGCAAAAGTTAAAGCTACAGCCCAAGTAAGTTGACCTTAGCGACCTAGATGAGTGGCTGAAACAGAGAGTCAAGTCGAAGTGATAGCCTTTGGTTGCTTCAGTAATATAGAGAATCCTGAACAAGAGAAACCCAAGTCAAATTCAAACAAATCGAAGTGGCTCAGGAGAAAGAACACGCGAAGACTCATTTAATGCTTTGTGAGCTAAGAAAAACATGTACTGACATTGTATGAAACCTGGAAGAATCAACTGCAAGTGAACGATGGTAATCAGTTATAGGAGAAGATGGGTTTGTGCTTTAGATGCCACAGTAGAGGACATCGTCGGCTGATACATTCCAATCCTTGCAAGAAGCCACAGGAGAGACGTCATCACCTGGAGTACCAACTAATCACACGAGCTGTTGAGGTCTTGAAGACTTGAGCCGGTAAGTGAGCCACGCCCTGAAAGGGTAGCGCTGCAGATGATACCCACCATATTGATGGTGGGTCTGGGTCGTCCTTCCTCAAGAGGAGATCGCTGATAAACTGGGTTTGTACGCACTCTGTGTTGCAGCTTTTAGAGCAAAGTCGAATGTAATGGATAGCAAAACTGTAGCTGTCCGCCAGCCTTATTTTTTGTGGAAATTTGTGAAATAAAAGCAATTGATTGGTCCGTCAATGTAAGAAATTAGATCATAATCGCGACTTGGAGATCATAAAGCCAGTTCAACATATAGAAGTTGATTGAGAAGTGATTATTATGAGGAACTCATTTTACCACTTGAATATCGCAAAGGACATCTGGGGGAGCCTGTAAGAGTAAGGAAAACCACTCGCATAGACAACAGTTGGAAATGTCTCGGATGAAGCAAACGAGTGTCATGAGGCTTGCCATGTTTACACATATACCGTGCGACCTTTACTCCAGAAATGAGAGCCGATGAGCTAATGCAGAAGATGAGGGGCGAAGTCGTTGTGGGAATTGCTGATCAAAACAAGCGCTTGAAAGCTGAGGAGGTGCTTGCTGCGCGCAAAGAGGCACAATCAAGGCGTTATGACGAGGGGCTATGAAGTGGCAATTCCATGGAAGGAAGATGATACGCCGTTGTGTTCAAACAGAAAGACTGCTGAAGGCCGACTTATCTCTTGACAAACACCTTCAGCCAAGACTGAAGGTTGCTGAGAAATACTGCCAGGTGATAGAAGCCAAGGTATAAAAGAATGAATCCAAGGGTTACATCCCAATTGCATCCAGTTGGTACCCACCCCATTTTCATGTAGTGAGAGAACACAAAGAGACTACGAAAGTGAGGATAGTCTACTATTCAGTAACCAAATACGGAGGAATGAGCCATAATAGCATTTTGCCTGGACCAACTGAGCAAGATGTCTTTTTTTTAAATGCACTATTTTGTTTCCGCAGTTATCTTGTGGCCCTTGTAGCAGATCTGACGGAAATTTTCTCACAAGTTACCATGGTAAGGAAAGACGGAGGGCACCACCCCTTCCTGTGGGGGTGGAGGTTACACCTCTCTAGACTTCCAGAAGTCTATGAAGCAATAAGCTTGATGTTCGATGACCGCGCCTCACTTTATCTTGCCCAGTACGTTGTGCGACAACATGCAGAAGATAACAGAAATGACCACCCGCTAGCAATAATCGTAATCTTATTACTGGTGTACGTGGATGACATTATGACTTCATTGAGCACTAACGATGAAGCGATTAAAGCTCGAGAATAGCTTAGGGAGCCACTTGGAAAGACAGGCTTCAAAATGCGGTCTAGTTGTAGCAACAGACCAGAACTACCTTGCATGAAAGCATAAGGAAAGCAATAAGATGATGAGACGGATGTGTTTAACTTCAAGTTGAATCCCCTGCAGGATGTTGTCTATACCGAGCGAAGGTTCGGAAAATAATTTTATATGCTTTTTTACCCATTACAGATGCTAGAGGAAGGATGGATATGCAGAGAACATGGTTACCTGGTTTAAAATAGGATGACTTGAAGAAGACGTATCAAGAATGGTTCAGTGAGTTACCAGAATTTTCCAGAGGACAGTTTTCAAGGTGCTATCGCATTGCTGGGAAAATTGTTGTTTACACATCTATTCATACAATGGTAGACGCGTCGCTGTTGGCATATGCAGATGTAACTTACGTTAGGCGCAAATATGAAGATGCAACTCGAGAAGAAGAAGAAGAAGAGGAAGAAGAAGAAGAAGAAGAAGGGAAGCAGGTTAGAGCTCTTGGCAAGAAAGAAAGGTGTAAGAGCTGTACACTCTGAACAGACAGAAAGGGCGTCTTTTTCTGGATCCAGAGTCAGTCGAGGAGATCTTAGACTTCTGTGGCCAACGGAATATTTAACAATTATTCCTCGAGCCCGAATAGGCTCTGAGTCAATAGCCCATGAGGCCGAAGGCCGAATGGGCTATTGACTCAGAGGCTATGAGAGCGAGAAGAATAATTGTTTTAGTGAAATCCAACTACTTGGTAAAAAAATGTCGAGACAAAACAACTTAAGCTAGTTAAAGCTAGAATTTAATCCTTTTTTGCCACTAAAAAACCGGCGCCTTTCGCCACTAGTGGGTTATAACATATAGCCTAGTAGTAGCTCAACCAATGAGAACGCAGAATTTATAATAGACCGCTAATTGAATTTTACTAACAGATTTATCAGACGCCTAACCCTAGACAGTGGAGACATGTACAAGACTTTTGTCGCCAACCGAGCATCAAAGATTCATCAGACGCCTAACCCCAGATAGTGAAGAGACTTACAAGACTTTTGGCGCCAACTGAGTATTGGAAATTAATCAGAAGTATACATAGAACCTCGATGAATTGGCGTTTGATCCCAGGAGCCGTTGGATACTAATTCTTTACCTGGTAAAGCTGTCCTGGGGGCACTGGACAGAAGAGTTTCTGGAAACACTTAATACCTAAAAGTTGGAAATGTCGTGCTCGTTGTCGATCAAAATTCTCCAATCGGTCGGTGGTAGTTTTTCTGCATCAGGATGGGCAGGGACGCGTTGTGCAGGTGAGTATAAGGCGCCAGAAGCTTATCCACCCTATAACACGATTGTATCGATTGAGCGTCGCTGACCAGCCATAGTCCTAAAGAGAGGAGCTGAGGATCCGGAGCTCCTTGTAAGCTCCAGGTTATATCCCTGCGTAGGGGACTGGAACTAGTCAACTAAAAAGTTCCCTGAGCACGTGGAAAATTGGCTGTTTTGTGTTCTTCTTTGAACCAGGCTTTGGAACAGAATTTTTCACGCCTGAGAAAATCCAAAAGGCGAGTTCCATAGCGCAATGTATGTTTCCAGATTTCCGCAGGTATACTCCAGGGGCTTTACCTTCCTTTCCTGCGTCGATGTTACCTAACAGTTCCTTGAATTCATGTTTTTCTTCAAGGCATGCAATGTTTACGGGTCAGCAAATAGAACTATGCCAGGAAACGCGTCGGCGAAACAGGTCAGCACGACATCAGTATATGCATTTCCGTGGAATAACTGCGAGTTTGCTCGATTGACGCCCACTCTTTGGTCTGCTCTGATGTTCCTTCCCGAGAAGGGACTTTTTGGGGGCTCATTTCCCAAACAGCGGCTGGTAATCAAGTCTAATTTCAAGTCAAAGTTATTCGAACTCAGGGGCTGTCAGGGGTTGAGCTTTTTCGAACTGTTATCAGCGAAACACCTGTAAAACAGATTACATTTAACATTAAATCGGTGTTAGAAATATGTTGATGATGTTACTTACAGTCGGAAATATGTAGTAAGAATACTAGAAAAAAAACTCGATTTGTTAAAAACATGGAATCCTTGGGTAATGATGACGTCTCAGCCCTGAACTCCCCCAAGTATGAAATGGTTAGGGATGACGTAAAACAGAACTAAATGCCCGAAGGGACCGCTTGGGTTGATTTTGTGACATTCACTGCACCTTTATACTTGTACTGTTTTGCGTTTTGTCTGTACAGTGACATTCCGTGAAGCAGCTGTTTTGGAGCTATTAAAAAATGCAGTTTACATTTCTTCGTCTCATTTCGTTCTCTTAAACAAACGTTATAAACACTGACCACCAAAGAGAAACTCTCGAGTTTGACCAAAATTATGGCCCGAAAGACACTCGGTAAGCGTGGACTTGCGTTTTGAGAGGCGAATAACAGTGTATAAGCACTTGGAGGGTTTGCCAGACACATGTTTATCATTCACAAATCTTCTTTTGGATTAGCTCTCCCTCACTACATGAAACTCATCCTAATGCAATCGATACAGGTAAATCTTTGATTGGAAACGATTTTACAGACACAAATCACTTTGGAGAAATTATTGAGAGGCTCAGTCTAAAACAAGCAAGTTGCATTAAGTGAACGCTTGAATTAAGCTAGCTTATTAGCAGAGGGATGCACGCTTACAGAAATTTGCCTGCAATTGATTTCTGTGCTGACGTATTCCCTCTTTACAAATTTCCCTATTCATTTCCAAATTCTTTCTCTGGCTGTTAAAATGAATTGCATGTAAAAAGTGCGAGAGGAATAAAGGAAATTACACCTTCTAATAAAATCTTTCCTTATAGTTAAAAGAATTCTTGAAACTGAGAGTGTTTTGATCAAAGCAGCGTAAATCGATTTGATTCAGTGCATGGAATCTTGCGTTTTCTGTTTTTATCTCCCTAATAAAATATCAATATGAATCTGTAAATTTCAAAGAGCTACACAAGAGTCACACAAAGGCAAAGGATACAATTGACCGAAAAAAAAAAAAGAAAAAGGGGCGTTGTAATGTCAACTACATTAAACACCTGCATATATATAAGAACCAACACCGTAACTCATATGTTTACCTATATTATAAATCGTATTTATTGCTCTTTTCATTTTAAATTTCCTTTTTTTATATCAATGAAAGTAGTATGTTGAGGACGTTTCCCCTTTACCAACTTTATTTGCAGAACCTTCGACACCATCGTCAAAAAATACCACAAACTCAACTTCAACAGGTCAGTGATGTTAAGGGGTGGTCACTAAGTATAGTGTTGCAATGGGACTAATTGCAGTGGCGGAACCAGACCTTCAGATAAGGGAGGGGGGGGCGGTCATCCAGACCCTGATATAAGGGGGGTGGTCTCAGTTTGGTCCAATAATATCGGGGGGGGGCCTTTCCTGGATCCGCCACTGAATTGCCAACCAAATCTAAAAATAGTATCCAGATCTTATCGCTTTTCAAATAATACGAAACAGTGGAAGAAAACAGAACCACACTGAGTCGGCCCCTGAGTCGCTGGACTGTTAAGGGAATTCAAAAGTAATTACCGGGTGTCAGTAAAACGCGGGGTCGCAGCCGGGGTCGGGGTATATCTCTTTTTTTTTAAATAATACTGCAAATTAACACAACATAGTGTATTAATCCCGGGTAGGCCTTTCCCGATTGTGCTCGGCAACTTTTGAGCAACTTTTGGCATTTGGAGCAAATTTTTGCGGTTCTAGCAACCTTGGGCTTTGCCTTTCTGAGCAACTTTTGAGCAAAATATAGGTCTAATGGCCCCACGGTTTAAAGCACATATCAAGCACGAAAAAGTCAACGATTTCATAAAAAACTTCACTGTTTTTAATTTCTTTTTTAACTTTTTTTAATTTTTTTAATGTTTTGTTTTAATGTTTCTTTAATTTTTTTTCTCGACCGATGTTAGTATATAAAAATATCAAGAAATTTAGGTGGCAACTTTTGAAATTTGGGTAGTAACTTTTCAGCATTCCATCCTAGAGAGTAACTTTCCAGCATTTTACGAGCACAATCGGGCGGACACTCCCTATTATGGCACATACGGAGGGCTCAAAAGGGGGTACCTTTTTCAGGCATTAGATCGATGAAAGGGTAGGGATTTTACTTGTTAAACTATATGAAAGGGTGGTTCTATCTCAGCGATCGTCGTCGCTGTGATCTCTGAAAAGTCAGGTTTCCATATGATCGCTATGATCGCTGCGATAGCTGAACTTTTTTTCTCAGCGATCGCAGCAATCAGAGCGATCGTAGCGATCATATGGAAAACAGGCTTTAAGCTCCCTGTTAGCCTGCGTCAAGTCGCGGACATAATGTACCAGTCAATAACAAAACTACCCATGCCCCCGCACAGACCCCTGGGAATCGGACTTTTTTGGAAAGGTTTTGGTCAAATTCCCGGGTATGTTGGCAGTTTAGATGGTCAAATACCCCACCCGCTAGCGCTTCAAAAAGTGTCAAATCCCGCATTCCACCAGCGACTATTCATGGTCAAAAATTTACCCACGCGTCAAACCGTTTATTCAAATCTAAATATCCTCCTAAACACAACCGAAATATCTCAAGTCTAGGAAAACTGTCTTACGGAGATTTGTTCATTCCAATAACATTGTTCATTTCAGAAAGCCCGCATTTAACGGGCTCTTTCAAGCTACATGCTAACGGACGCAATGTTGGGAGTTGTTCGCCAACAATGTTGGTTCAACAATGTTACGTCCTTTTGCACGTAGCTTCAAAGGCTCTCAAATGCTCCAACAAAACAGTGAATATAGGAGTAATGACGTCAATAATCCTTGAACGTAATGTACATGCTGAACGAAACGCTGACCAACATTTTGACACGAAAGTCAATGCCCGACAGGGCGCGCCTCATTTTGGGTCAAATTCCCCACTGTACGGAAAAATGCCCGGGGTATGTCCCGGGAGTGGGAGGTTTTGGAACTGACTGGTACAAAATCTAACCGTTGTTCGAAGTTTAATTCCGTCTTTGACGCAGGCTAGCTAGACGGATTAAGACTCGGTACTGAGAAAAACATTCGGCTGGTGCACGATATACTTAGCGAATAGCAAGTCTCGAGTTACGTCACAAAAAACACAATGATCGTTATCTCTTACACAATAACACAATAAGCCTCACACAATAGAACGAGGCAATAGTGCACATATTGACTTGGTATATCGAGCATCATCCAAACATTCGCTCATTTGTTTAATAACCACGTTTAACTGAATCTGTATTTCTAATTTTTTTCGAGTAGCACCAGCAGGTACACGAACAGTAGCAGCCGCCCATGACAACAACAAGTCAGCCGACCATTGGATTACCGCGATTGCGATTTTAACGTCTGGACTTGGCCTTGTTTTGATCGTGCTTACGGCGTATCACTTTATTAGCAAAAAGTTTGGCAAAGGATACCGCGCCTGTAAACGTAAGATAACATCCAATCATTTATCATGCAAAGGAAATCACTAAAAGGGGCTTTGTCACGAGGATACTTGGCTGAGATTATTACTTGATGCCTCACAAAAATGCTCACTTAGAGATAAGAAGAAGATTCCATATAAATTCTATCAGGGAGCACTAACCATAATATTTTTTGGCGATTTTTGTGGACAGAGCATCAAAACTTAAAAATGTTGGTTTTAAATGTTTAAGCTTTCAATCCATGTCCATCCTTGCCATCCGTTGCAACAGAAGACAGGAAAAAATTTCAATGCCTAAATTACATAACTCTATAAACATCTTACATATTCCTATTACATATTCCTATGAATGGTAAATTACCTAAGTGACACATATATAAAGCTACCATACCAGGGGCACCCAACGACTGTTTTCTGTAAACTAGCTGTTTGGAGAAGCAAATATTGCCTAGAATTTTCTATTATTTGAGGACGACTAAAAATTTCTAGATTACCGTTCCATTCATGTACAATTTTCGAAGCATATCGTATAAATTCCCTACGATTTTCTGACGCTTAATTTTCACATTTTACTTCCCGAGTTAGGCTATTTTTTGTAGAAAAAAGGGAACCTAAAATTTTCGGATTCAAAAATGTGATGGCGTTAAGAATCAGAAAACGCCTCACTTTCGTTATACGCCAAATTTCACCTAAAATTTTCGGAAAAATAACCCTCACACCCTTGTAGTTTCAGAAAGAATCAAGTTCCCCTAGGATGACCGAACAGATACAAAGTTTATAGTGCCGCTTAGAATGCATTTTTAGATAGCTTCAAGTACTCTGGATAGCCTAAAAAGTGTTTTCAACGTATTTAGGAGGAAACCATCATTGGGTGCCCCTGCCATACTACCTCACCCAACATACTGTCACACTATATGGCACTTTTGCAGGAAATCAGACGAGGGAAAATTACAAAAGCTTCAGGAAAGGGCACACCGTATTTTGTTCAATAGCTAGTAACTCGTTTACTTAAAATAAACTGTTAAGGAAATCCAATCTCAGCACATTTCATAACAGGCGACTACAAGATATTTCAATAACTATGTTCAAATATCATATGGGTCTATTGCCTACATATTTTTAACTAAGTTCCCGAAGTGCGTTTTAAGAACTGAGAATAATATCCAGATTCAACACTGTTAGATATGGTAAACATTCGATGAGACATTTCGGACCAAACCTACAGTCTAGACTTCCGAAAGAAATTAGAAATATGTCATCGTTCAGATCTAGAATTAGAAAAACAAACATAACGGAACTGGTTAGTAATTCTAACTGTCAGAACTGCTATTTATGCCACTCTTAATTTACTTTTAGTGCTTGTATTCTTATATATAGCGATACATTCTTATCACACATTTTATACATCTAATTTACACCACTATATTTATAATCTTACAGTGGAGAGTGTCACAAAAACTGGTTAGTAGGCCTGTGTATTGTGAAATAAATTATCAATGATTGTCACCAAACCAAGATACCCGATTTCCCAGGGTCATCTAAGTCCCCTGTTCAGTATTTAATAACTTTATGATATATATCTCAAATTGTTTTAAGGCGAATCGTGAGGAGGAATCCTAGTAACTGGAGCGTATATATACGTAGGAAGTGCTAACAGTGGAAATATGCAATCAGTATGTCGGGAAAAAAAACTCGATTTGTTAAAAAAAACACATAATAATATATAATAAACAATAAACAATTGTTTTTTGTTTGTTTGTTTGTTTCGCAGATGACTTTGAAACAGGAGTTAAGAGCAATCAGCTTTTCGTCAGCTATAGCTCCAAAGATATGGCCTGGATCAATGAAAATCTGATCCCCATTCTCGAAAAGCACTCCGTATCCTACAGCATTCACACCCGAGACTTTGAGTTGGGACTGCCTATCGTCCAAAACATGGCAGACAGCGTCTATGGCAGCCGCAAAGTTCTGATTGTCTTGTCCGACAACTACCTCGTCAGCAACTTCTGTCGAGAAGAGCTGCACATGGCCGTCCAAAGGGAGGCAGAGAGCCGAGATTCTTCGCTTATTCTTGTGGCCATCGACAAGTTGAAGAAAAAGAAGTTGCCTGGTGCTTTGAGAAACAAGCATTTGCTTGACTTTGAGAAGCTTAAGATAAAACAGGATTGGGAGAAAAAGTTGTTAAATGTGGTAGCAGGCCCAGGGGCCAAAGTTGCTTAATCCGCCTCATCACAAATGTTTGTAATGTAAGCTAGTTTCTAAGATAACTAATTGCCAGTTCAATCATATCGAATCATAGTTTGACCTAAGCGATAGATCAAGTGCAGAAGTAGTTGGCCGACTGTTTAGAATCGAAGCAGCTTATGAGTCAGTTAGTTCCAAATGTATTCAAAAGCGTTCATTTAAGTTCATGCAGATGCATGCACTTTCGAACTAAGATGTGTGCACAGACTCAAAAAGTAATAATAAACAAAAAAA